GCCCCTTACCAGGTGCCGCCCCAAGCATGTGCTTGGTTGCCTGGTGCCTGGAGCCGGCCCTGAACACTGAGGTTCCTCTTCCCTTTCACATTTCCACTTGAATGCCACTAAGCTGCAGTACGGGGGACGCAAAGTAGCTGTGAAATAAGGGCTGGGTTGTTGTTGTTGTTTTTTTAATGGATGTTCTAATCGCCAAAACTCAGCTTCAATTTTCTAATTAAAATTCATATTTTGAGACCTACACCTAGTACCATAACAGTCAGCAGCACCACCTTCCTTATGAACCCTTGCTTGTTCTAAAGTGTGCCCTGAGGAAACAGGAGCATTTTGAAGGCATAACAGAGTGGAAACTTCAAGCTGGAAGAAGCAGCTCTAAAGAGCTTACTTTTCCAGCAGGTTTTTATTTAAGCTCTCACAGCTCTACAATAAATGGGCATTACTAAGATTGTAGCTGTGATGGTTCTGAGGAAGAAAAATGGGGCAGAAATTCCTCTTCTTACCCCCAGTGGGTGGACAGCTTCATCACATCCACATGAAAAGAAAGCTGGCATCTGCCTGATAACGTATACTAGAACTAGCAAAGGATTCATATAAACAAGATATAAAGTCATAAGTTAAAATAAAAGACGAAAGCTATGGGACGAAAACAAAAACCACCAACCCACAACAAGGAAATGAAGTTTATACAAGTATGCAAAATACATGAACAATACTGGAATGATTAGCACAATACACTTGGAAGACAGAGGTCTCGATGCAAAGATGGAAGTGAAGAAATAATTGGATTTCCTTTCCCGCCAGCCCCACCCCCAATGCCCTGCCTTGGTTAACTGGGATTTATTTGTTTGAACAGCAGCCTTATGCTAAGGGCGGCTAAGCTGCAAATACATAATACACCTAGCAGGAAAAACAGAACAATTGTAAATCAAAGCGAATGATTACACTGCCCATCAGTGGCAATCAGAATCTCCATCTGGGCTGCAAGAAGAGCTCATGTACCAAGAACAAGAGCTGGAGCACAGTCACTGAGAAAAAAAGAAAGCTCCCTGTGCTGCCCCTTTCCACTTCTGTACAGAGGGAAACTCGATGCACTGTGAACACATTAATAAACAGCAGCATTTACTCCGCAGTTTGACTCCTAGGAGACAGCTCTGTAATTTGCTGCTGTCAATAATATATTAACCACAAGGGGGTTGTAATGACATTTCACATTTGGTGCGGTATTTTTTTAAAACTGATTTGGGAAAAGGAATTGTATTCAAAGCAAATTCAGATAATGGCAATAGACAGCTCCTATGCAACCTTCCACTGTATCTTTTACATTTTGGGAGCCACGACAACAGAGGTTACAACTTTTTGTGGCTCTAATGCAAGAAGTGCATTCATTATGGTCCAGCCTCCGGAGTCCATTGCCATTCAGCAAATCACTTAAGCACATGCTTAAAGGTAAGTGTGTGCAAATGCCTTGCTGAATTAGAACCCACAAAAGCACGTCTCTGTACCTTTATTCTCTGGATAATCACCAGGATAGAAATTCTTTCTCCTACAGTTCTGCCATCAGTAATCTTGCTAATGTATGTCAGGATGAGTTTATAGAGAGGTAAGCCAACTGCCACATTCCCATATGGAAACTGATGGAAAACATCCCTAAACAGTGAATGAATGCCACCACGTAACATGGCTCACCATTCAGTTATACTGGATAGTGTTATAAGTCAGGTGCACTGGGACATACAGAATTGAAGACCAGTCTTCCTCCACCTGAGAGCTGCAGGTAACTCATCTAATTCCACTTCTTGAAATGTAATTTTTATACGCTAGTTTTGCTACCATCTGCCAAAGAGCCCCAGCCTACATGCTGGAACCCTTGCTAGCCAATCAGATTTCTCCTTTTGCAGTTCCCATTCTATATATAAAGGCAAACACTTAAAAAGTGTTGTTCTACTCTGTAAAAGTAACACCTTCTTATTCAACACATCCACTCCTGTATTCAGAGTCACTTCAGTAAGTAATGTGGGTTAAACTGCTTTTCTACTCCTGTTAGCTCTGCAGCTATGGGAAGCTGAGAGATTCTATTCTGGACAGTACCAGCTGCAGGACCTAACTCTAACCTGTATCTTTTTGGGGTGGCATAGATCTAATGGAGGACCAAATTTGGCCTACAGAATTTCTATCACTGGTTATGACATATCATCATCAAAGATCCTTGATTTACGAATCTGGGGTGTTCATAGCTAAAAACAATATTTTTTTAATTTATAAGTTAGCAAATTTGATATGGACACTCTAAAGACCTAATAACCACAAGATCATTTTTACTATCTACTTTAATCAGAGATTTCCTGTTCCTGATATAAAATGCAGATGGTGTGGGTTACATCATTCTATTATACAACAGAACACCTTCATGTTGGAATGTGTATACTCAAGTTTGTTTTGCTTGGCTGTCTCTAACCGTAAGTTGAAGGTAGGCAGCAACAGGAGGACAACATTCAGATTGGTGTTAGCAAATGAACTGAGTTTTTTGGAGGGAAGGGGGAAGAGGTTACCTATAAAAGATATTTTCCATGTTTTTAAAAGACAATATAAAGCAATATATTAACAGCTCAACCTCTGTTCTAGTGAAGTTTTTTGTCAGGTAATATGAATCACTGGATGTTGACTTTTTTGGTGGTGCAGAGGGGTGCTTAGCTAACCTTGCCAACTTTATACAAGTCTTTATGTAAGAAATTTGAACAAGAGCTCAGTTTCATTAGGGGTCTGAACTATGGTTGTGTCTTCACTGCAAGTGACAAAGTTGTACTGAATAAAGTTTCTCTCTCTCTATTTACACACACACACACACACACTTTTGTTATATTTTTCCTAGAAACTGGCACCACACTGATGAGAGTTATATACCTTTCTTTGTAATCAGAGATTGATGAAAACTGTGCATGCCCCTAAAGTATGCTGCAGGCTTCTGCCAGTAAGGATAAGCACCTATTGCAATTAGGGTGCCCAGATGTCCCGATTTTATAGGGACAGTCCCGATTTTTGGGTCTTTTTCTTATATAGGCTCCTATTACCCCCCACCCCCGTCCAAATTTTTCACACTTGCTGTCTGATCACCCTAGTTGCAATACACGGTATTGAGTGGTAGTACAAAATTTTGAGATGATATATATGGAGAATTTGGGGTCCCTTTGAAGTTGAGGTCACAAACCAGCTGATCTCCTTCCAACAACACATTACAAATAATGCATCACAATTAAAGAGTAAAAAGATATTTTCCCAAGTGGATTGGAATTTCTCCTTTTTAATTAAAACAAAAAAGGATTAAACGTTTCTGGAATTTTCTCTTGCAAACACCTTGCTAAACAGTTACTGGCTTTGGATTTTATAAAGCAGATTCCTCTGGTACAGGTTGAAGCACTGACCTGGGAGAGAGGGCATTCTTTGGCTAATGTGCTCTGATTCATCTCTTTAAGCAGTTCCTTTAAGGCATTGCGGACTGTGGCATGGTTCCACTGCTCTGCTGGCAAGTCTTCCAACTTTGAACAACTGTAAAAACAGAAAGCAGAAAAATCAGATGGAAACGTCACCAGCAAGCAAACCTGCTCTCTTCGTGCAACCATAAATCTTTGTGAAGACATCCCCACTTTACAGTCCTGTGCTCAGACCTTTCTTTAAAGTGCATCCTTTTTTTTTACATCCCCATTCCCCCCCAACAAGACATGTGCTGCAACTAAGAGAATTACAGCACATGCCAGAAATCCTAGCTAAGCCTCCATAAGTGATGTAACATGTGTGCCTAGCCATTTCCTTTGGGGCCTGAAGGAGTGCAAAGTGCTCTGCTTAATGCAGGCCACACAAATGACTGGGAAAGGCTGCCTCTTAGGCACAAATAGATGCTCCTGCTGGAATAGAAAAAAAATTACACAACACGGTTAAGTAGTGAGAGACGCCCCCATTCTGAAGGGCCAAGGCTTTGGTCTAAAACAGAATTCTGTTCTACATGGGTATATATCCTGCCCTCACCACCATAGTATCTGAGTACCTTCCAGCAATGCATTACCCAACGTGACTAAGGTCTGTCACAGATGATCACTCTCATTCTCTCCGCTTGTGGGGAATTGCGTGTGTTTTTGTCGTGTTCTGTTTCAGGAAGGTTTCGTTTCAGGTGCATTTGATTGTTGTAAGGTTGTTTGATTTTTTTTTTAAGTACGCACGCTCTATGTTTGTATTAGGAGTAGGCAAGGTCAAAGAAGTGTGCCTTGCAATCAGTGAGGAAGGCGGGGAGGTTTGTGACAATTCTTTGTTCCTGGGGGACTTTGTTTCAGTCTCAGACTGATCCATGAAACCGTTCGGTCTCCTGCACAGATCAGCTTTACTCTTATGCTAGAAAGTGCCTTTGTGCCTGAGGAGGGGAGCTGTTGACCAGAGTCTTCATCTCAGAATTTGAGGCTCTTTCAGATATGCTGGGCCCAGGCCATTGACCACCCCGATGATAAGGGCCAAGACCTTACAATTGACTTAATAATCTTTGGGAGGCCAGTGCAGAGAGCAGAGGGTGGGTATGATGCTCTCACAGTAGCCCATGTTGCTGAGGAGATGCACTGTAGCGTTCTGTACTAGCTGGAGTTTCCCAAGGGCTGATGGCTTCCTGCCCAGGTATATCACATTACTGTAGTCCAGCCAAGAGGTGACAAAGGTGTGTGAGTAATTAAGGCCAGGTCTCTATCCACCAGGAGGGAAGAGAGGCAACTGGAGATGACAGAGTGTTATTCATAAAAGCTGCTATGTGATAGGTTGGTATTGGCAAAGAATCCAAGAGTGCTCCTAAACTACAGACTGAATTGACCAATTGTGGGCACATGACTTCGATCAAGGAGACTTAGTTGGAGACACTTTCCTCTGCTTATCAGCACACCTTCTGCCTTGCTCAGGTTCAGTTTCAGCCTGCTATTCTTCATCCATGAGCTGATCTCCTCCAAGCATTGGGGCATCCTGGTAGTCATGGTGTGATCGTATGTGCCGAAGGACAGATAGAGCTGTGTGTCATCTGCATACTGTTGGTACCTGAATCCATGCTTGTGACATTATTCACAATGCTGTCTGACCATTTCACCTAGCTGCTGCACGTAGATGTTGAAAAGGACTGGAGAGAGAACTGATCTTTGTGGGACTCCACAGATGAAGGGTTTAGTGGGAGAGGTGCAGTTTCCCATCACTACTCATTGGGTGTGTTCCTCCAGAAAATATTTTTAACACGTTACCCAGGACTCCGGCCACCTCTCAGGCAAGACAGCAGTATCTTATGGTCAACAGTGTCAAATTTTGCAGAGAGGTCAAGGAGGAGGAGAATGGATGTTTGCCCCATTGAGAGCAGTGCCATCAGTGGCATTAAAGCTGTTTCCATACCATGTCCTGGCCTGAATCCAGATTATGCCTGGTCTAGTATATTAGCTTCAATTAGAAGAGTTTGTAGTTGGCCTGTGGCTAGCTTCTCTGTGAGTTTGCTGGGTAACAAAAGATTTTATACTGAGCAATAGTTGGCCAGAACTGAGCTATTAAGAGGGCAGATTTCTTCAGTGTCAGTCTCATTACTGCATGTTTGAATCAGGAAGAGAAAGTTCCTTCCCTGAATTAAGTTTTGGCTATTTCAGTGGTTAAGTGAACCAGTTGCTCATGGACTTTTTTTCCTCAGCCAAGAAGGGCATATGTCAGATTCATAGTTCTGGGGTGGATATTCATTTAGAGTGTTTAGTTATTCTTAAGGGGAGAAAAATATTGCCATTGATTAAGTAAGCGAGGTGGAAAATATGCAGTGCCATAAGTTTCAAAGTACTCGGCAGCCCTGGTGTAATGCAGAGAGTCAACCCAACCATGCAGTGCCAATTTCATACATGCACACAAAGTGCAGCAGGACCCTCTGTTGTTTTGCAGGAGGTTTTTGCAATGGGATTTAACTGATGGTGCTCGGATACGACAGCCATGAGACTCCTAATTATGATAAAGTTAGAATGAACCTTTTCATATGGGCAAGTTATTTCATAATATCCACTATTTCTTACTCCTTCTTCTAAAGCATCCTGATCACTGGACTATGGCAGATGGGCCAACTGTCTGATCTAGTGAGGTACATCTGAGGCTTAAACAGAGTTTCTTAAGAACTGGGTGGGCGCTTTGCTTAGGCCATCTGTAGAATTCTCCACCCTTTTCAGTGAACAGCCCAGTAGTCTCCATATTCTTTAAATTGCCAGGAGGGAGAAAGAGAAAAAAGTATATAAAATAAAAAGAGTGTGCAGAATTGTTAGACAGCAGCTACCACTCTGTCCATCAGATGTTCTAGAGTAGGAAATAGTTTAAATTACCAGATGGAGCAGTAGAGGCAGGCTCTCCCCACCCTGCTAGGATTGGCCACTGGAGACAAAAGAGAAGGCAACAAGCTCTCTGGGCCATTCTGTCTGAGCCACAGTTAGCAGAAAGTCTAGACCCTCATAACCCGAATCCTGGAAACAGATGAGGTGTTTATTTTTCATATACAATGTGCTAAGCATTTAATCAGGCCTAGAGGACCCATTAAATTAAGAGTTGTGGAAAGTTTCCCTTTAAAGGCTTCATATCCCTCATGATTGATGGAGTCCCCCCACCCACCTATCCACCCGCCCCACTCCTGCCCCCACCACACCATCATGGCTTTACTGCTTCAGAAAATAAAATGTAAAAACAGTTGGAAGGTTCACCGAGAAACCTGCATCGTGAAGCACCCTTCCCTTCATTTTCCTTTTCATTTCATCAAAAGCCCAGAAATTAATGAAGACAGGATGTGCTAATCTCTGTAGTAATGCTGTGATCAACGGAGCAGCTCAGAGAATAGAGGAGGACAGATGTTCAGAAACACCCACCTTTGTAATTGGATTTTCAATGTCACAACATGATAGACATCTTGTAGCATGTCGGCTACTGTCGCATCTGGTGCATCGGTCACATAACTGAGGGGCAGAGGGTTCCACCTCCCAAGTTTGATTATTCCTGGAAAGAAAAATATAATACACATCTATCAACTGTTTATGAAACCTTTTGATTATTTGGTTGGTCAGGGTGTTCAGAACCCGCCCTGAGATTTATTGCAATTCTGAACACAAAAGCTATTTCTTTCTGACAATTGAGCCTAACTAAGTGGAGGGGAAGGAATATATTTTGAATTGTAAACAGAGAGCTGTTTACATCTTCGTGTTTCTTGAATTATGATAGAGAAGCAAAGGATGCGTCCCCACACACAGCATCACCTTTCCTCATCCCACTAAAGCCTGCACTTTCTAAGTTAAGACAAGCTTTAAATACCCTGTGCTCCTGATTTCAAAGCCTGCACAACCCTTAAGTCAATAAAAGATTTGGTTTTGAATTGAACAAGAAAATTCCTGTGTGTGGGCTCAGCACACAGTTCCATCCTGACTGTGGTGTGATTCCCAGTACAAATAGCATTTGAAATCGATGAAGAAGTTAGAGTTCACTCCCAGATCTGCGTTTTACCAGGCAGATGGTTGCTTTCTTTGGCAAAAAGTAACAGCGCTGTACTTGACCACAGATTGAAAATAGCACAGCTGTCTTCCAGGTCCCTGTTTATACCTCTGCTCCTTCAGTAACAGCAGCAACACCCTTTCTAGATTGGCTTGTTGCAAGAGACTGAGTTCGCATGTGATAGTGTAAACTCTTTAGTGCAGAAGACGTCCCTTCTTTTAAATGTTTATATAGTGCCTAGCACACCCTGGGCACTAACAGAAACCATTACTAATTATTAGAAAGGATGGACTTCCAGGGAAGCTCAGAAAACAGAGACTTTAGGAATATAATGAGGCACGGTGCTGCCTTGTATGGGTACACAGCATAGTGGGCAGATGTCTGCTGTTCTGCTTCACTCCATCTCCTCAGCTGTGTTACTGGCTTCCTCTTTGTTTAATCTGCTTATCATCTCTGAGCCCAGTCCTTGAAGGTACCAAACACCCTTGTTCCCACTTAAATTGACAGTGCTCGGGACCTAGTCTTTGGCCCGTTCACACACATTCAAGGTTCCAGAAGAGATCAACAAGGCAATCTGCGAATATTATCAAAAGCAACACAGAGATGACTGTTCACAGCGCTGTTACCTGGTGACACCACACTATTGCATGTCTATCTGCAAGCTCTCATAATAATCGAACACTAGTGCTTCTAAATGGAAAGCAACAGCTCATGACAACCCGGCCTATCAAGAAAACTCATCAGAAATCTTCTGAGGTGATATCATGATGCTAAAATTAACGCAGTTCCCCACATGCACCATTTTACCAACACTGATGATAGCCAAATCTAAACTTTGAGTTGCATCTAGGCTTATCAAAGCTTCTGTAAAGGTGGTTATGAGACGGCAAATCAATGGCTTTGTGAAAATGGTAGCACAATGGTCTCCCTTACTGCATGAGATACTTGGCACAGTGCTAATACTATAATATTTTCTCTGTTTCTGCATAACACTGGTAGGATAATTTTGGTACAACTACTCTCCCCACTTGTAGCATTTCAATACGTGCATATAGATTTCTTGGGAAATAGATCTTCAAATGGTTCACAGTGTATTCCATTACCATGTACAGTCCCTGAGAGGGAAGCTGGAGTAGACCATTCTCTTTGCTAGTTTGAAGTCTCAATATGATACTCTGGTATAGACTCAGTAACATTTCAAGAGTAGGTTATGAAGCTTTTGGTAAGGGTAGAATCTCGTCCAAGACAAAGTTAATAATTGTTGCTTGACATCCAATGCTTGAAAGTGGGGCATACATGGAACAAAAACATTTAAATGATGCACTGTTTCAGTATTCAGATTTAACAATCTGGTGCTGAATATGCTGCAGTATAAATAGTGCCTGGACTCGGATCCAGTGAAGTAACACACAGCACTCATTCACAGTATCATATGTCTCCAGAGCTGGCTCCTCAAGCCATATTCCACTTGCCAAGAAAAGCTGTTTTTCTGAAGGGGATAGTTTACTTAATGTTATCTCTGGTGACAATGAGACGTGCACATAGTACAGCATACATTAGTCGTGAAATGAGCATCAAGGGTCCACTGAGTGAAATACATATTAGAGAAACAGTTTAGCTGCCAACTTCCCTTGCCCCTTCTAATACTATGTAATAATATAATGCAAAGTCACCTGAAAAATCCAGAAATCTGTATCAGCTTCGCAGAACACTGGGCTTACTATTTTTAATCACTTCAAGTTTCCATATAACTGAAAAAATAAGCATCATATGTGCCCTATAAGTCACATCTACATTGGTCACATTTTACAAGAGGCTTTATTCTTCAGTCAATTATAGGAACCTCCGTGAGAGAACACTGTCTCCAAGTGTTTGGTGCTGACAGCACTGGAGAGAGACAAAGAGGCAGTAGAGGTCACTGGAGTTAGCGAGTTGTTGTCCCAATCTGGAAAGTTCAAAGCAAAACCACAGGCCAAAGCATCATGGGAAATACTATATAAATCGCTTTACAGGAAATGTCTGCTACTACTGGTAGTTAGATAGATTTTTTATCCTTCTCTACAGTTGGAAAGGAAACTGTTTTGGCTGGAATTAGACAAACACAGGTGTTACCATAATGCTTGGGCACGTTAACACCTACTGTGAGTCCTTTACACCTTGTTACAGCACCGCTGATGCACGCTATTTTTTTAGCCAGTGTGATGTGACGGGTGAAATTTAAAAATATATATATTGAGTTAGTCCCTAGGCTAGCCAGAAGCCATGATTTCCATGCTGCGCTTCAGCATGCTCCACAGGGGGTTTCGTTCATGGCACTGTAGCTGCATTTAAGGCACCTGTTGTGCTGCAGATAGGATGTTGGTGCCAGCTTGTTTAAGCATGCCAGTTCTCTTTCCCCCAAATAACTTTCCATCAGGATTTGAGCAGTACATACAGTCATAGTTTGGCTAGAGGTTCCCTTCTCATTTGTTACCCCTCTCAAGGTGTTTTTAATGCGACATTCATGATAGGTGAACACCAGGATAGCTAGGCATCATCTTCCTAGATACACACCTTAATGGCCTAATTTCCAATTTTTAAGGTTGTGGTCTTTAATTATGCAACTTCACTTGTATTGTATAGTGTTTTTATCTTGTATTGAGCCCGAAGGGTATGTCTACCCTGCAATTAAACCCTTGCAGCTGGCATGGGTCAGCTGACTCCGGCTCATGGGCTCAGGCTCCAAGGCTGTAAAATTGCAGTGTAGATGTTTGGGCTCAGGCTGGAGACCAAGCTCTGGGATCCCACAAAACAGGAGGGTCCCAGAGCCCGGGCTGTAGCCGGAGCCTGAACGTCTACCCTGCAATTTTACAGTCCCACAATGTGAAGCCTGTCAGTTGACAAGGACCAGCCGAGAGTGTGTTTAATTGCAGCGGAGACACCCTCCAAGACTTGGAGAGAGTGTGAGAATCAGTGAGGCACTTTATAAATGATTACTGAACAAATACTCTATTTTAAACAGGAACAACATTCCTCCTTCCTTAATACTGTTTGAGGAAGAGATGCAGCAGAATTCTCAAGAAATCTGTAGGCTGATCCTTTTACGACTTCACAACCTTTTTCCATTAACTAATTCAATCACTCATTCACAAACCAATGACCCCTTTGGGGCTCTTTTTGTGGAGATTGGCAAACAGTGCACAAACACTAATTGCCAGGAGTTTATTCACTAAGTTACTAGGTCAAGCTGAGGAGATTTTGAGGCCTTGTCTACACAGAGGAACCACCTGTGTTCTGGAACAGCCTTCAAAAACTGATCTTGAAATGTGAAACGGCCTGTTTGAGGGGGCAAAAAAAAAAAATCTTTTAAATGGTTTTGTTTGAAGAACATTTTTCAACAACTGCTTTTAAGAAGTTATTCTCCCTCCACTCTGCCTGGCTGAGGGCAGGTCTACACTACGGCAGGGATCGATGCTCTGAGATCGATCCACCGGTGATCGATTTAGCAGGTCTAGTAAAGACCCGCTAAATCAGCTGCAGATCACTCTCCTGTTAATGCCCGTACTCTACCCCCGACAAGAAGAGTAAGGTAAGTCGATGGGAGATTTTTTTCCAGTGTAGACGCCACAGTAACTCGACCTAAGGTACATCGAGTTGCGTAGCGTGGGTCGACTTGCTGCAGTAGTGTAGACATAGCCTCAGATGTGTTAGCTGGAGCATTTTCAAGATTAGCTCCTGAAAACCATTGCCCTCTGTAGACAGGCCCTCTCATAAGCTTGATTTTCAAAAATGTTGCCATCTGTCACTGAACAAGGTTGATTACTGATCAGCGTAGCAGACTGAAGAACAGGATATGCAGCCTCGTTTTAAATTTGCATATCTCCTTTCACTCAGAAAGATCCCAAAATACTTTAAAACTGCATATATCAAGGACCACAGAAAATGCAGCCACTTGTAGAGGAGGAGGTGCCAACCAAGTGACCCTCTGTGGATGGAGTGGAAATCTTGGCTAGACACTTGGTGCTTAACAAGCATGCTTAGAGAAAGAGAATTACAGGAAGTTTAATGTGCTCAGTTTTTAAGGTCTCATCCAAAAGATTCACACCTGCCTTGGATTTCAACGTATTTAACTCACAAGAAAATGAAGGACTGACTCAATGCTATTAGGATTTGAACTTGTGAATGTGTCTAGACGTTTCAAAAGTGCATCTTAAATCACTAAGCCACCTTACTAGCTATGGCTTTTCTAGGCTATTTACACAATTAGGGCCAGACCCTGCAACCCTCACTTACATGAATAGTCCTTACTCATGTAAGTACTATCATTGAAATTAATAGAGCTACTCATGCAAGCAAGGATTACTTAGATAAGAGTTGCAGGATCAAACCTTTAAAACTGGAGCACTTCCAAACAGAATGTACAGGCACCATACAACAGAACATCCCTTGTGCTATTGTTAATAGCTTCCTTCACATCTGCCACATTTATTCCCAATTTCCACCTTTTACAGACTATGGACAAACCTGAACAA